TTGATCCCACCAGAAATCCAGCATTGTCCTGTGCTCTCTGCAGTGCTATCTCAAGCAGTTATCAGCCCTGCAGTTTTACTCTGTGTACTGCAGACCCCTCTTTATGTTATGGAGAAGACATTTCTTGTCCTTGGGTGACAACCAGGGGCATACTGACCATTTAGCCACTCAGGCACTGCCCAAGGGCCCAGGGTCAGTAGGGGGCCCTATGAGATGCCACTGGTACCTTTCATTGGCTTTTTCATAGGGTTTTTTGGGTGAGGACATGGGGGCTCCATAATCCCTTATTACCCGGGGGCCCCATAAGTTGTCAGTCCGCCCCTGGTGACAACACAGCTTTTCTCTAGATACAGTACAGTGAGTGAGTGCTGTCGCCCTAGGATTGGTCTGAGGATTGGTTAGCTGCAATATATTAAATATTTTGTCTTTGGGTATAAATACACTTTAAAGTTTAACTACATTACCAATAAAAAGTTGTTTACTTGCCATATTCCATGCTACCACAGGCTTCCTCCTCTCTGTGCAACCAGTCCCCTGAAGCTGCTGTTCTTTGATCCGCCATCCATCAAGTGCACTCTAATGTCATCAAATACAATACAGGACCACTAGACCTGTCAGAGGAAAGAGGAGAATGCCAGTTTGCAAGAGCAAATGTAAGTAAAATGGCTGTATAACAGTACCCTACTGCAAGGGTAGTTTTTTCATTTCCCTAGAGTTCAGCTTCAACTACTTTAATAGCGTTCTGTAGCTGATGCATGGCTACAGCATGGCTCTCCAGTTCTGGGAGGACTTCCCTGGATGTTCTCCCATGTGCGTGCCTCCCACACTCCCCCATGAGTGCACATTGGGTACACCTTGTGACCGTTTTTTGCCTTGGGCACAGAGGATCACAGGTCGGGGTAAAGGGCCAATCACAGCAGTTCTTTACCATGTGATCAGCTGTGTCCAATCACAGCTGTCACAGATGTAAACAGACTGAAATCCTTTGTTGGTTATCGGTTCTCCTTTCTTCACACAGAGACAGCATGTGAGGAAAGGAGAGACGACCTGTGAGGGGCACAGCATTTACAGCATTTACACTGATACACAGTGTCCTGATCATCAGTGCCCTGATTTTCAGTGCAGCCCCATCAATGCCTCCTCATCCGTGCCCATCAGTGCAGCTTATCAGTGCACATTAGTGTTGCCTCATCAGTGCCCATCAGTGCTGCCTTATCAGTGTTGCCTCATCACTGCCCATCAGTTCAACCTCAACAGTGCCCATCAGTGCAGCTCTCCCTCCTAGATTGTAGGCTCCAAGGAGCAGGGCCCTCCTAACCCTCTTGTATTGAACTGTATTGTTGCTGTATTGTCTCCCGTTATATTGTACAGCGCTGAGCAAACTGTTGGCGCTATATAAATCCTGTATAATAATAATAGTAATAATAATTAGTGCACATCAGTGCAGCCTCATCAGTGCCCATCAGTGCTGTCTCAGCAGTGCAGCCTCATCAGTGCTCATCAGTGCAGCTTATCAGTGCACATTAGTGTTGCTTCATCAGTGCCCATCAGTGCTGCCTTATCAGTTTCTCCTCATCAGTGCCCATCAGTGCAGCCTATTCAGTGCCCATCAGTGCAGCCTCATCAGTGCACATCAGGGCAGACTCATCAGTGCCCCATCAGTGCAGTCTCAGCAGTACAGCATCATCAGTGCAGCCTCGTCAGTGCACATCATCAGCCTCTTCAGTGCCCATCAGTGCAGTCTCAGCAGTGCACATCAGGGCAGCCTCATCAGTGCCCATCAGTGCTGCCTTATCAGTGTTGCCTCATCACTGCCCATCAGTTCAACCTCAACAGTGCCCATCAGTGCAGCTCTCCCTCCTAGATTGTAGGCTCCAAGGAGCAGGGCCCTCCTAACCCTCTTGTATTGAACTGTATTGTTGCTGTATTGTCTCCCGTTATATTGTACAGCGCTGAGCAAACTGTTGGCGCTATATAAATCCTGTATAATAATAATAGTAATAATAATTAGTGCACATCAGTGCAGCCTCATCAGTGCCCATCAGTGCAGTCTCAGCAGTGCAGCCTCATCAGTGCCCATCAGTGCAGCCTCATCAGTGCTCATCAGTGCAGCTTATCAGTGCACATTAGTGTTGCCTCATCAGTGCCCATCAGTGCAGCCTATTCAGTACCCATCAGTGCAGCCTATTCAGTGCCCATCAGTGCAGCCTCATCAGTGCACATCAGGGCAGACTCATCAGTGCCCATCAGTGCAGTCTCAGCAGTACAGCATCATCAGTGCAGCCTCGTCAGTGCACATCAGTGCAGCCTCTTCAGTGCCCATCAGTGCAGTCTCAGCAGTGCACATCAGGGCAGCCTCATCAGTGCCCATCAGTGCAGTCTCAGCAGTACAGCCTCATCAGTGCCCATCAGTGCAGCCTCATCAGTGCACATCAGTGTAGCCTCATCAGCACACATCAGTGAAGAAGAAAAATTACTTATTTGCAAAATTTTAAAACAAACATTATTTTTCTCAAAAATTTCTGTCTTTTTTTATTTATATAGCACAAAGTAAAAAACCCAGCAGTGATGAAATACTACCAAAAGAAAGAGCTATCTGTCTCAAAAATGATACAAATTCCATTTCATTACATGACTGCACAATTGTCATTCAAAGTGTGACAGTGCTGAAATCAGACAATTGGCCTGGGCAGGAAGGGGGTGAAAGTCCCTGGCACTGAAGTCCGCACTGCCCTATAGCAGAAATACTGCTACAGGGTGGCACAGGTATGAAAAATCACGTATATATACGTGATTTTGCAGTTCTGGGTGGAGGGCGCACGACCTACCCACACTGCCATTTGCGGCCTAGTCTGTCAATCATCGGGTCTGAGCCGGTGATTCCTCGCCAGCACCTGGCGATCTCTGAGTATTACCGATGGGGGAGAGACCTGTATGTAAACAATACAGATCTCTCCCGTCAGCTCCTACACACTGCTTTGTATGACTCTGCCATACAAAGCAGTGTGCTTACAGTTGAAAGCACACACAACCCACATAGTAAAACCGCACACAGCACACAGTTAGTCCTTTGATTACCTCAAATGTTAACCCCTTCTGCCCAGTGCCATTAGTACAGTGGCAGTGCTATTTATTAGTACTGATCACTGTATTGGTGTCACTGGGGATGTCAGTGACACCAAGTCAGTTCCCCCCAGTGTCAGAATGCCAGATGCAGTCCTGCAGTCTCGCTATAAGTCGCTGATCGCTGCTATTACAAGTAAAAAAAAATTTTTTTCTTTATTCCAGTATATATACCACCATTTGTAAATGCTATAACTTTCAGGTAAACCAATTCATTTACACATATTGGGATTTTTTTTAGCAAAGACATGTAGCAGAATACATTTTGGTCAAAATTTTTGATGAAATTTGATTTATAAATTTTTTTACTTGACATGTTTTATAGCAAAAAGTTAAAAATATAGGTTTTTTTTCTAAATTGTTGGTCTTTTTTATTTATAGCGCAAAAAATGAAAAATGCACAGGTGATCAAATACCACCAAGAGAAAGCTCTATTTATGGGAAAAAAAGAACATAAGTGGGTGCAGCACTTGCATTGTCAGTTAACCTCCCTAGCGGTATGATTATGTCTATATTTCTGTGCTCAAAGTGGTACATTTTTTTGCATGGTAATATGTCATTTTTTTATTATAGGCTTGTAATTTTTAGGAATAACTCACTGAAATCTGTCCGAACAAGAGTCTAGTAAACATCCCGGGTGTGATAAAATTTGAAACACGAAATCATAAATTATAATATAATAAATAATCATAAAAAATAATAATATAATAATAAAATTTAATTCAATAATATAATCAAACCAAAAACACTGAAATTTGAAATATAGCGTCAAGTTCGCACATCACTGAGCAAAGTCGCAAAATCGTTTTCAGTGTCTGATGAGGAATTTCCCCACGAATCATTATCACTCAATTCTGCAAGTGGTTCTAATTTACTATCGCTGTTCTCTAGCTGGTCTAAAACCGTTTTTGACCTAAAGGGACGCTTTTTGGACACCATGGACATTTCTCATTTACCAGGCAGAAAGAACAGTAAAAATGCAGGCAGGGCACAGGACAAAGCACTAGGGACAAAATGTATGTGAAATGTTTGATACAGTAATGTTATACTATGTGATTTTAGTGAATGTCACTTTTAAAATTTTTGAATTTCCCACCAGTTCCATCCCCCGTATGTCCCACCACTTGCAGGGAATGGAATCCAGAAGACGAATGCCTGCATCGGCCGGAGGACATTGCCGGGGACACTGCAGGAAGGACATCGCGGGAGCGCAGGACAAGGTAAGTGAAGAAAAGATCCCGGAGCAAAGATTCCTGAGTGTAGCTTGGGGTTACAGCTTTTAGTACTGAAAGTTTACTCCGAGATACACTCGGGAATACCGCCAGGGGGGTTAAAGTATCGCAAAAAATGACCTGCTCAGGAAAGGGGTAAATCATCTGGAGGGCAAGTGGTTAATTATATTGTGCCTTTAGCTGTCACCCTAGGTTAACACCTAAGCATTTTCTGCTGCATTTTGTGTTTTGCAGAAATGCAGTATAGTCCATTTAACATGATTTCCTATGGGACAGGTTCACATCTCTGTTTTCACCCAGTGCGTTTTTTGGAAAGGGTCAGGGACTTTTTTTAACGCAAAACGTTGCGTTTTTGGTTTTTATAGACTTCAAAGGGAACGCTGCAGAAAAGTATGTATTGCGTTTTTGCTGCATTTTTTACACGTTTCACATTTTAAATCTGCCTAGCAACAAGAAAAATTTAAAAAATTTTAAAAAAAACACACAACCTGCATAGGTGTGAACATAGACTAAGGGCCAGGTCACACTATAGAAATGCAGTCCAGATGTGTTCTGGATGCGTTTCAGCATGCAAGTTTTTGGCACATTTTTTGATGTGTTCCGGTACATTTTTTATGTGTTTTTGATGCGTTCCAGTGTGATTTTTATGCATTTCAGTTCATTTTTTCCTCTTTCTTTAATGTAAATAGGGACATGTGCAATCCAGTTCATTTTTGGTGCATTTTGGTGCGTTCGAGTGCATTTTTGATGTGTTTTACCACGTTTCAGTGCAGTTCTGTGCAGGAAAAATGCACCATGTTCTACTGTTCTTTCTGCAACTGGAACGTATTGGAACTGCAAGCACTGATGTGAACTATGACATTGAGCCTGGGTTCACAATTGTGCTCCGCATTCCTGTGCAAATCACATGCAAATTCTGTGCGGTGCGATTTGAGCCATACATTTTGTACGGCTCAAATCGCACCGCATTTGCACCAGAAAGGTGCAGGACCCTTTTTTTTGGTCTGCACTAGAATCATATCGCATGGGTATTCACAGCCATGCAATCCAATTCACATGAACAATTCACAGGAACGGGGTGTGATTGTGATGTGCTGTGGAAATCGCACAGAAACCGGTGCTAATTCCGCACCACATCAGTGTGAACCCAGGCTGACAACCATATAACCTACTTTCTGTGCACTTTGGATGCAAAAAAAACGCAACTGAAATGCATGTAGTGTGAACTGGCCCTACACCTAACAAGTGTGAAAGCAAGTGCAGTTAGCTGTCTGGCCACTAGATAGCTCTGTTCTCATAGCTTGGTAAAGAGGAAAGTTTTAAGCACATGAGAGCTCCCCTTTTAAAGAAGTCCCTCCTTAGTGATGTGATGGGTATAGTCTGGTCCCATATAAAAGCCAGGTTGGAAAGAGCCTAGTTGCAGTTGAAGAATGGGAAGCAGAAAGGTCACCAAAATGCAGATGTAGTCAGCTGAGTGGAGGCCCTGGACAAGGCTGAAGGACGGGGTGAGGTAGCCCTGCATTCAGAAGAGCTGGCTGAAGTCATCCTATCACAAATGTTCTCTGAAATGAGTCTATCCTCCCCAGAGGACCTGGGAGAAGTGTACTTAAGGCAGAGGTGTAACTGCAGTGATCCTGTCTCAGGAAATACAGGCAAAGAGTTGTAAGCTGGACAAAGAGAGCCTATGGCAATCCAGAGCCCCATAAGTCAGTTCTAATGACCCTGGGAAGGAGAGAGATTGTGTAAAGGGAAGATGACTTAAGAATTCTGTATGCTGCGTTCACATGTAACTGCTGTGGATTGTCCACTTTGTGTGACTGACAAAGTACTGTCAAGTTACCCTGGATAGAATGTCTACGTGATGTGACTGTGAATGCCATCTTTTTGAAGTAACAGAAGTAAATTGCATCAACTATACTTCTATTGTGTAGACATTCCTTTCTTTGGAATATAAAGGCTGACAGCTGGGGGTGTCATTGGATGGCCTCTAGCATGGAGTTAGGCACAATATGGAGGAGGTAGAGGAATACCAACAGGTGGGTTGTTGTTCTATCAAAGAAGAAGTGGGGCAGGAGGGACCCTTTGGCACCAACCACAATCCCCCTTACAAGTGCAGTTGCACATGTTTTACATTCTTAACCTCTTCACGCCTGCCGCACACAAATGTGCGGCCTCCCAGGGTCTGGGCCTAGACGCAATTAAGAAAAACATATGTGCTGAGAGCTGGTGCCCTGCGTGCTCCCAGCACACATCTCCGGTACTCACGAAAAGGTCCCGATCTCCTCTTTCGCTCAGGACCTTTCCCGATCATGTGACCGCCGTGATGGCGAATATGGGCGCAAAATTTGTGCCTAGCCTTGCAAATCTTTTTATGCCATACTGAGAGGAAGATATAATTTATGCCAGGGACTGGCCTAAGCTACTATTCTATAAAAGATATATAGACAATATTTTCTTACTTTGAAAGGGGAGTGAGTTTTCTTTGACCAATTTTTTTTTAATACATTGAATTTTAATAATCATAATATTAATCTTACCTATCAATTTAGTTTTACTGATATTAACTTTTTAGATCTTACTCTTATTAACACTGGTACTAAAATCATCACTAAAACCTTTTTTAAATGTACGGATTGCAACAGTTATATACTGTACCTACAGACAGTTGCCACCATCCCTCACGGCTTAACAATATTCCCATAGGACAATTTTTACGTATAAGGAGAAACTGTAACAATTTAGATGACTACTATGCTCAAGCAGATCTCCTTAGAAGTAGATTTATTGAAAAGGACTACGACACCTCAGACTTCAATAAAAATATTACTGAGGTAGCTCATCCTAATAGAGATGATCTTTTGACCTCTAATAACAACAGTAAGCCGACACGTGTCTGCCCATTCGTGACTAATTTTTCAGTGCAATATAAAGATGTTTCAAAAATTATGAAGAGAAACTGGAGTATTCTTAAAAATGACCTGATCCTGGGTAATTTGTTATCTGACTACCCTGAAATAGCTTTTCATAGAGCACAGACTCTTAGACACTGTATAGCCACGAATATTGTCAATCCTCCTGCTACGATTTCTTTCTCGGGAGCATTAAAAGGTTTTTATCCGTACAATAAGTGCATGATTTGCACTTGTAATGGTCTTATGAAAAAAGAAAAATAACTTTAGATCTAATGTGACCTTAAAAAATTATGAGATTGACAAATTAATTACCTGCAACAGCACTCACTTTGTGTATCTGTTAGAATGTCCCTGTAAAAAGCAATATGTGGGCAGGACAACTAGGAGATTGCACGATAGACTGCGAGAACATGTATGTAATATTAACCACTTGCCTACCGGGCACTTATACCCCCTTCTTTACCAGGCCAATTTTCAGCTTTCAGCGCTGTCGCACTTTGATTGACAATTGCAAGATTCTACCCATATGAAATTTTTATAATTTTTTTCTCACAAATAGAGCTTTCTTTTGGTGGTATTTAATCACCGCTGGACACTTTACTTTTTGCGCTATAAACAAAAAAAGTGCAAAAAATTAAAAAAAAAAAAGTTTCTTTGTTTCTATTATAAATTTTTTCAAACAGGTAATTTTTCACCTTCACTGATGTGCATTGATTAGACAGCACTGATGGGCACTAATAGGCGGCACTGATGGGCACTGATAGGCAGCATTGATGGGCACTGATAGGCAGCACTGATAGGCGGCATTTATAGGCAGCACTAATGAGGTGGCACGGATAGGTGGCACTGATAGGCAGCACTAATGAGGTGTCACGGATTGGGGGCACTGATAGGTGGCACTGATAGACAGCACTGATAGGTGGCACTGACTGGCATCACTGCTGGGCACTGACTGGCACAACCGCTGGGCACTGACTGGTGGCACTGACTGGCAGCACTGCTGGGCTGCACTGATGAGCACTGGTGGGTGGCACAGATGGGTGGCACTGGTGGGCACAGGTGGGTGGGCACAGGCGGGTGGCACTGCTGGGCACAGGTAGGTGGCACTGCTGGGCACAGGTAGGTGACACTTCTGGGCAGAGGTGTGTGGCACTGCAGGGGTGGCACAGGTGGGGGCACTGCTGGGCACAGGTGGGCACACTGCTGGGCACAGGTGGGCGGAACTGGTAGGTGGCACTGCTGGGCACCGATCATCAGGGCACTGATCATCAGTGCCCTGATGATCGGTGCCGATCCCAGCTCTGACAACTGCCAGTTCTCGGCAGTACTTTCCTCACGCTCTGACAGCGTGAGGAAAGTGCAGCCAAGAACCAGCAATTGCATTTCCCGGTGATCAGCGTGTCATTGGACACGGCTGATCACGTGGTAAAAGGCCGCTGTGATTGGCTTTTTACCACATCATGTGATCAGCTGTGTTTGTTTTTGTTATAAAATTTTGTAAATAAGTGATTTTTCTCCTTCACTGATGTGTGCTAATGAGGCTGCAGTGATGGGCACTGATAGGCTGCACTGATGGACACTGATAGGTGGCACTGATGGGCACTGATGAGGAGGCACTGGTAGGTGGCATTGATGGGCATTGACAGGCATCACTGATGGGCACTGAAAGGCAGCACTGATATATGGCGCTAATATATGGCACTGATAGGCAGTACTGACTGGCACTGTTAGGCGGCACTGACGGGCACTGATAGGCGGCACTGACAGGCTTTTAAAATGGCATCCGGTTCGCGCATGCGCGTGGGGTATTTAAACGGATGGCGGCAGCGGCAGGTCACCCTTTGACAACGTGCCATTGCACGAAACGCGTCAGTGGACCAGCCTGCCTTGTCGACACCAATCCTAGCTGCTGGGGCCATGTGTTTGGCCAGCAGCCATCTTGAAATTTGGACAATTTTTTCTTCATGCATGAGATGTATCCACCATATCTGACACACTAATAGTTATTTGCTATCCGTTACCATTTATGTGTATATGCTATTTGCATTCACTAACTGTAGCTGTTGCCACCTGCTGCTGCATGTTTGTTAACACACCTGTTACTTCAATATGTGATTACCATCATTGGGCTGAATAAACTACTACACTATATCAGCTTTTTGTCCTGGTGGCTTTTTTTTTTTTGAGCTACTTAAGGTGGATCTCCTATTGTTGCTGAACTCACCTATTGCCGGGTGTAAGTAAAACCTGCGAGCAGTTCCCACCATCGGAGAGAGTCTACTTAGAAGTCTGGAGTATTGTCCCTGGGTATACCAAGCGCCATCGGAGTGCCACATCCCAACCACGTTCCAGATGACCACTAGTGTCCCTTACACTACATGCGTAAAATCATTTTACGTCTGGTGAGTGCAAGCACACCCCTTTCTTTCTCATCACGGAAGTCACGTGCACCTTATGATTATACGATGGAAGTTTAACGTGATTGTTTGACATCTTCCTTATTTGAGAAAGCTGACGCACCTTTTGAATGATTTTATGGACCTTTATTGATCTTTTTATCATTATATGATATATAATGCATTTATATGATATTGCTGTCACTTTATAAATTATTTGCTGTCTTCATTAAGACATCACTGCTGTATCACTGGCTAGCGCACTATTTTGAGCAATCATCACCTATATTTCACTATAATTATTTATTTTAGCACTGCATTTTGATTATATTATATGTTTGAGGATTTTAGAGGTTTTTTCTTTATGCTAGCAGCTTTATATTTTAATATTTTTTTCCAGTAAGTGCTTGCTTTATTATTTTTATTTGAATCACGGAGGTCACATGACCCTAAAACCCTGCCCCACCTCCCGGCTTCTGAAACCCTTAAAGGGCCGGGAGGTGCCGGCACCAAGGGGTTAGGTAGCAAATGGCAGCAATGAGAAGTGCCCCTTGATGGATGTGAACCAATTGCAGAGGAAACAGTGGTGTGGCTTGGCACGCAGAGGGTAGACACTGCAGTGGGCTCTGATGACATGATTATGCTGGAGATGTGTTTGCTAATAGGCCGGGCGAACTAGACCTCAACTTGTGTAACTTGTGAACAATGTCAGGAACTAGATAGAGAATGGCAGATTCAATAGAATAATTTAGTAGTAGTTGTAACAGAGTAAAAGAAAACCAACTGACCCAACAGTCATGACATGCATGCTGCTGATTCTGTGTAATCAAATCATTAATTGAAAGGGGCATGTTCAAAATAATAGCAGTGTGGCGTTCAAATACTGAGGTCATTCAGTCTATGAAAAACAGGTGTCAAACAGGTGGCCC